GGAGGAGGAGGAGGTCTGGCGTCGGAGACGGGTTTATGCGTCTTCTTGTGCCTACTGTCTAGTGAAAAATAACATTTTGTCTGGCTTCTACCTGCAGTGGGGACCGACTGTTCCGCCAATGGCTCAGCCTTCGCATCAGAGAAGATGGTTGCCGGACGAGCCATAGTATGGACCTTATCGCTGACGTCGTATAAGCTCTCATTTCATGGTCCCGATCGAGGTAGCCGTAGAGCTTCCTACCACAGCTTGCCTAGATGCGTACATTTCGCTCCTCGGGAGTTTTGTTACTCCGCATGTACGTGCTTTTCGTGAATCAGTATACCACTCACCCCTCCCGTAGTTACTGGCTCAAAAGAAGAAAGTGATGGAAGCTGACGCTGGCAATGAGTTGAGAATGGCTATAGGATGAGTCATGGATGCTCTAACTGACGATTGCCGAGTTGCACTTCTGCCCTTGATCCTTACTGACGTCACAAGTAAGCACGTAGTTAACAGGGAGTTCAAATGGTTCAATCGGCTCAATGTACTTTCTAAAATCACAAACAATTACCGGTGAATTTTAAAGCCCCCTGAATGGGTACTCAAAGTCGGAATTTCCAAAATCTGCCGAGTTAAAACTTGGACATTGTGCGACGCCAACAGCTCGCATTACACTAAAATGGACCACAAGAAAACATAGTGCGAACGGGAATGTCCAAGTTTAGGTCTAGAGGTGTAAAAGGCAAACATCACCAGTGCACTCGGCGGCACTAGCATCCCACAAATAACCTCTTGCAGAAATCGTTGGAAATTATTCCCTGATGAGCATGTTTGCATTCTACTCTGAGAAGCCACTCGTGTGCGATTGAAAAAGTCAAACATACAACTGGCTAACATGCAAACTGAATGAGCATCTGATGAAGACACGTTTGCAGGTGTATTCATTCTCGTTCTCCCGGAGTAAAATAATCCCTCTCCTGAAACCGCTCGTACGTGATACGAAAGATCGACTACGAGTAACAGCACCTGGCGGTTGAAACAGAGGTTTGACAAGGATGAACCTCCTCAATACAGGGCCCCATCTGACTACCACCCGGAAACGACTGTCATCAATGCTTCGTATTCGGCTTAGGCATTATTCAGTCACGGCCTCCTCCGTCCTGCTGGTCAGAATGTGCGCGATAACGCATCACACATACACCCAGGGGCTGAATAACAGAAGAATACGGTCGTCAGGTCCAGCTACCGCATACAAACAGCAAAAATTTACATCTTGACAGAATAAGTCAGTCAACAAGCAAAATATTGACTCAGAAGTCACCCTAGTATCGCAGTCTCTAAAAATCAAATAAAGTTTCGCGAGCATCAACTCTACTATCAACAGCATTCGGTCAAAGATAGTTACACCTAGGTCGTCTTGCCAGCCAAGCACAGGTGCGGCAATGCTGGTTATGCTTAGAATCAGTCCTACCTAAAAATAGGTTTCAGCCCTTGCAGACAGTCGGCAACATTTCTGTTCTTCAATTCAAGTCAGCCGCCACTCCTTACCAGCCATGCCAATTTTTCAACGCCTAAACGAAACGACTTGTTGACCGGCTTCAGGTGTGGCTTGTCTCACCCCTGAACAACAGACTTCGTTTAGCCTCCAATGGCTGTCTAAGGTCGGGACGCGCTTACGGCCATCACGATGCCCTACTGGTCGTGGCTTAGAAGACTACCGACTGGCGAGGCAACTCGCCCCCCCCCCCCCCGAACTGGGAATCAGGTGGCAATGGACCCTCGATGATTTAACCTGTCGCCATTGATCCGTGTTGATTGCATGATGAAATGTGGCTCATTCCGCGCTACCATGAAGCACTGGTGCGGAATGTTGGAGGTGTGGACTTCGCCCTAAATGATTACTGACCACAAATAATGCCTTAACTAGTCATTCCAGCCACGCAGTGATTTTTGGTCACTTTCCGATCACAGACTACTCATCACATGGGGCCTAGGCAGGAACCACAACCAGACAGGGGAACGTTTGCATGTCGTCAGGTCATCAGTACTAGACCAGTGGACCCCACTCCCACGTAATTTGTGTCTCGCTGCGGGAATCGAGTGGCGATACAGACCAGAGGGACAATGTTTCATCAATTCCGAGTTTGTGTCATCTGACCTGTATCGTCACGCTGGAATAGACACCTTTCACATAGCCATGTCAGAAATCGCAAATGATGGTGCCTATGCATGGCTTTTTAATTTCCGAATGCATTTAGTTGTTCGAATATTTAAAGGACGGCCCACATAAGGCAGCGACATCTGTTTGGCCACTTTTTGAAAAAGCAATTTCGTGTCTCTTCAGTCAACAAGGGCGCGCAAGCAGAGCTCTTGCCACGCGCAGAGGAGCGAGTGGAGGTGGTCTGTACACACTCCATGGCCACCGTAGTGGAACCGACGAAGTCCCACATCGTCGGAACAATTCCACTAGCATGTCCACTCGCTGGATTAGGATAGTGGAGAGAGCGCAAGCGTGTGAACTGCTAACTAAAGTAATCGTGGCTGGCATGCAAGCACTCCGCCCTCCGTGGCGCCGGAAGATGCAAATACGCGATATTTGCAGAGTCGGCACATTCGCACTTACCATTTTTTAGAAAACTAGCTATATGATGTCGCCCACGTGGGGCTGCAGGACCAAACCTCGCCACACTTTTCCCCAAACCCTCGCGGAAAGTCAAGCTTGGCAGTAATCTAGGATCGGGACTCCATAACGGGGACCTGAATGTGCGGAACCGACGCGTGACAGCGAGTCGCACCCCTCGTCGGTGCACGCAGCAGTGACAAGCCGTACTAAGTCCCTCTGCCCCCTTCCAAGGAACCATTATCCCTACCCCTGAACGCCTGCTTTACCTCATGCACATCATTCCTCGGCAGCACGCCTGTGTACATTCGGAATCGCACCCGAACTCCATTCTGCCGGCAGGTAGTCGCTCCCAGCCATGAGACTGGCCAACCACCTGTGTACTGCCACGCTTGTGACGGTTAGTACTGCGGTTGCAGCGCACTAATAGAGACTAGTTCTACTTCCAGCCGATACATTGACTAGCCGGTAAGCGAACTCGATAAATGACGACCGGGCGCCGAGCAAACGGCGCTTATCTCCGCCGCGCACGCAATATCAGTGGAGGCTTGGTCGTTCCAATTTAATGAGATGTTTTTTCATGAATTTAATAAAAGCGCACGCAGAACTCGATGCCTGTCCCCGGCAGTCGTTTTACGCTCATACATGCAGAAATACAAAGGCGGCCGCAGGTCAGTTACCAAAAACAGGCACTAAGAGAACATGTCGACGGGTAAACGAGCAGCATGCACGCATGTGCGTGCGTGCGCGCCGGGGGGATGCCGTGAGGCGGTGGCTGTCGCGCGGACACAGGACAGAGAGAGAGCAGAGAGATGGCAATAAAATCAGTCTGATGAAATTACATTTTGAGGCGGGGGTCGATTTGCATACGCACAAGATGAATTATACAGGGAAGGGGCCATGAGGGGAAACGCCCATAAGCACGTACACAGGTGGGAGAACGCGGGCCCAGAGGCCGGGGAGAAGTGGAGGCCAGAAGAGCGTGTCTTGTCTGGCGAGGGACGTGGGGGGCAGATGGCAGGAAACTGCGTCAGAACTAGTTCTCCGTCGTTTCCTCGTCTGCAGTCAGTACACAATGACCGTTGGCGGCGGCAGTGGCGTCATGGCCGTTGGTCAGACCCTGCTCAGGCAGACCGTCTATGCCCAGACTGGCGAGCTTTTCGGAAAGACCAGAGTCGACTGGCAGGTCATCGGCTGCAGGCTCGGTTGGCTAACAAAAAAGAGAACAGGGTAAGAAAGGCTTACTGCAAAAGTAGGCAACTTGGGCCTACGAAATAGACGCTCTGCACCTCAGGTGTGAGCCTAAAGCAAGGACTGTGTGGAGTTCCCTCATCGGATCACCAATTAAAAGGAGCCATGTGGTGGTTTGAGTTCTCTCTCAAACATCGCTCGCACAAAGGTTGAGCCCATGTGAGCGGGAAGTTGTGCGTGAGCGAATGGAAGATGCTAAGGATGATAATGATGACGGCAAGGCCGCAAAGTCAGGCTTCGTCTGGTCTCAAAAGTCCCGTCTAACCACACACGGACGAAAGGATCCCACTCATCCCCCCCGCCCTAGTGAACCTTGCTGAATATCCCAACCCTGTGTGTAATCATGGCGTCATCATGGCCACCACCCTAGGTTAAGATATCATACCTCCTCGAATGGTTGACAGGCCGGTTCAGCAAGTTCAAGATGTTCATCGCCCATCAGATGGTGATGGCCGTTGACGGTGGGGGTGATTTCCACTATCTGTCCACAGTCATTGGAGTCGCCCCCAAATCCGGCGGCCTGATCCTTGGTGACGACCGGTTCTGCCTGGGTTGAAATCTCCGCGCAGGCGTCGGCCGAGGGAGCGTTGATCCACTGCAGACAGACACACATGGGTATATAGATGAGGGGGACTAGGCTTTCAGGACGCCATTACCAACATAGCTGCTGCTGCACACAACAGTGGGCCGGGACTGTGAGTGGGCAGCGTGCAAGCGATCGGACACACTTAAGACGGTGAGCAAATACTCACGAAGGAGTGCCATATGAGCAGATGAGATAAAATTGCACACCGACTACGAAAACAACGAAAAAGGTGACGGGAGCAGCAGACAAGAAAAAGACATGGATGGACGGCTTGGCTCGGGTGAGTGAGAGCAAACGCTTTTTGTGGTGAGTCACAACATCTAAACACAGCGGGATGGCATTGTGATGCGTACCTTGGACTCTGTCGCGGTTTCCTCTGCTGGTGGCTGCTGCAACTCAGCCTCGTGGGTTTCAGGAGCTGGTGCTTGCTCGACTGGAGGGACCGGAGGGTCAGCAACTTTAGCCCCTTCGCCTTCCGCAGCTGGAGTTTCGGTCTTCTCCTCCTTTTCAGGTCCAGCTGCCTCCGTCTTACTGCAGACGCGGGGCTTCTTGATAGAAATCTTCTTCTGAATCCAATTAATCGGATTCTTCTTTTTGTGTGCCTAGAGAGATGGAGTTAGCGTGGGAGGCGAGGCTCACCTTGGCTTCTTCGCCGTTCACGGCAGCGGACTGGTCGGCTGGTGCTGCGGCGGCGGCATCGCCCTCGCAGTTAGCGGTCTCCTGATGCTGGGTTGCATCGCCAGCAACAGCCTCAATGGTGCCATTTTCATTCAACTAGAAGGGGAAGTAAGAAGTCAGTGAATAAACGGACCACAAAGCAATGAGCAGTTGCAGATTATCGGTACATTGGAAACCGCCAACATCAGCAGTATGTACGAACGAGCACCACGAGAGAGCCAACACTTCTATGACGTTGTGTCACACAAACAGCCTCTTCACCAACCGTCCCCTTGTGCGTGACTTCCCAACTGAACGAGTTCTGAGTGCAGAACAGACGAGATACAGGAAATGAACTCGGTCACAGCCCATCCGACGTGTCTTGTAAATACACCATTAAATCCAAAAGTTGGAGAAATTGGAAATCAATATCGACTCCTCTTCGATTGTGTTGTACGCCTTCACAAACTGTAAGGGTTCAGACACTCTTACAGGAAAGCCCGGGACCTTCAATACAACATGAACAGTGAGGCGTTACATTTCAAAACCAGAAAAACTAGACGATAAATGCGCCGAGGCCACTTAACCTTGGTCGGGTGTATTCATCAAATTCCATGGGGTTGCACACACCTTGCCAGTGACAAGGAAACGGCCTGTGCTAGTGCTGGGTCTCACTCAGGACTTCAGCCACTATACCACTATCGACCGGAAGCCCTGAGCTAAATCATGCAGCTCGAACTGCGATTCTTCGTTCGCCCACTACGTTCAATGCGCGTGACATTAATCATAATGAAGTGGAAGCGCGCCGCATGTACCTCACACGCACGGCAAGGACAGGCAAAGAACGATAATGACCTCTGAAGACAGGCGTTTCACCCTTCGCTCCCCGATCACCACCAAACTGTTGTTTCCGCACGACAAACACAAACGAATTCGCCCCGCCAGCATCGAAGACGAAGAACTTATTATATCAGAGGGAGCCTGTGCACCTCAGAAAACCTGTGCGTACAGATGAGAGTCACGAGTCGAGTGTTGTACAGTTCCCAGATATCATAAAAAGGGAAAATTGACAACACGTACCTCCTTGCAGGTCCCAGGAGTTTCGTCGTGTGTGGCAGCCTAGGGAGGTAGAGACGAAAACATCTACTTAAAAGACAGACCACCCTAATAGCAAAAAGTTGGCGTATCGAGCTCGCCTTTGGAGGCTGTGTGCACCTGGCTACAATGTATGGCTGAGTGGGGTTTTACAGTTAACATATCTCGCCCTGGAGATAAAAGATTAGAATGATTTACGACTGGGAGGACTCATAGCGCAGGTGAAATTAGTGCGTTCATTAACAAAACGCATATACAGTAATGGACGGATTCTCAGTGGTGATTAGGCGAATGAAATCTACCTAAAACCACCATCCACCTATTATTTTCATCATCCTTTACTGTTGAATAATGCACTCTGCTATCATAAAACCGGATCGGCTTATATGCGCTCCGGGGGGAGAATCAGTTGGCGTGTAACCAACGTCTACGATTCCCTCAACATTCACCAGCATGGGGACTGGGCAGTACCAAACCAACTGCCTGTTCTACAGCACGTGGCGTTTGTGCGTGAAAGTCTAGCTTCACTGTCAACCCTGTCTGTGAGCCGATACCGATCCTGCAATCAAAAGAAGCAGCGCAATCCTCCCGACAGCAGGAGCACGAGATTCAAAAGGCGGAACGAACGAGATCAGTAGCTGTGTTAATGACTGCAAAGCGCTTATCATTCCCAGAGAATTTGGCGGAAAAAACTCTGCCCTGAGGGCACTCTAGTTGGTCGTCAGAATTCGACCATCAAGTCTGCTCTGGGAAGCTCCGAGTTTATGCAAAACTGTACTCCGTAATCAGTTAAGCCTGACGTAGGGTATGGTTTATGCCCCGAGTCTCGTAAGAAACCAAACAAATACAAAAGGTGGTCACAAAAGTACTAAAAGGGTGGTAAAAGGTATTACGAGACAAATATAGCACTCACTGTCTCCTTCTTTGCTCCGTTAATCACAAGCTTGGACTGTTTAACTCCCATTTCTGGCTGCAGTAAACGCTGGATGTTTGTCGAACGCAGAGGGCAGTGCGGCGAGAAACCGCTTCAACGGCTGTCCAAATACTCGCGCCGCGCCTACACCTCGCCGCTGCAGCATGCAAGTGACTCACGGGCTGGTTTCTGCCTCCTGATTGGTCATTGCGAAAACTGGTCACTAATCGTGGACAGACAGACAGGCGCAGGAGGACCTATCTATGACTGGAGTGTGTCTCTACAGTCATTGAGTTGAAGTTAACCAATCCTGCGGCTGGAGCAGGTGCCTTTGTTCGTCGCCCGGGCGTGTCGTGGGAGCGCGCCTACGGCGGCGCCAGCCTAGTCATGGACCGCCGTGGCTCGTAAAGGGTGCGCGCGGCGGCTGCCGGCCGGCGCGATCACCGGACCCTGACCTCAGTGCGCCATCCAGGAGCGATCGATAGGTCTCGGCGATCTGCTGAAGTCGCCCTAGCGGCAACATCTGTTGGGGCTCCCAACCCCCGCCCATAAGATCCAAACCAAAATGACTGAAGACGCGCTGTCCGGTCAGCAGGACGCTTCGGAAACCTTATTTGACCGTCAAAAAACTGAAGTCACATTTGTTTCAGCGGCAGTATCTTATTTGTCAAGCTTCTTAATTCCGTCTCGGTAAGGTCCTCGAAACAAACCTTTCCCAGGTTCATTTCGAAATTTTATACGAATTTCTCAGCCGATTTATATCAGCTTTAGCGTAACAGCCGCAGGATACTCACACTTCCTCTACGGAAAGTCCGTAGTACACCTTTGACCGGAAAGCAGACCTTAAAGGATTGTAGGATGAGTCCGCATGTCGAGAAGGTCTCAGCTGTCTAAGGTGATGGTAGTTTCCTTAGTGTTTGGACAGCTGTCTGGTGCGGGGAAAGAGCAGTCGGGCCTTCCTCAACGAGAACGTTATTGGTTCGCGCTATATTGCAGCAGGGCTATCGAATTCACTGGCGATATTAACAAGCCTACTAGGATCGATTCTCTAGGATTACACTGCATCGACACTTTGAAGTCGCACTAGTCAGGATATCAGTAGGCCCTTATGACCGACTAAATCTCCTGACCTCGACCCAGAATATGATAAAACAGGTCCAAATCTCAGATCTTATCGAGAGTGTGTAGAGGCGATTTGGGATTGCTATTTTGCGTAAAGGTGACTTTTCTGATCGTAATAAACGAGTCCGTTTATGCTGTTAGTCATTATTCAACTGGAAGAACGACGGCAGAAGTGTGCGACGTTCGACTTAGTTTCACCTGTCCAGTCTGGAAGGGGGGACATTTTTTGGACCAGCAGCGTGAATAAATATCCCTATCTCTCAAAACTGCTGATAGACGGAGATTGGTAGGAACTACGCTAAGTCATTCGGAGGGTTAGAAGTATACTTGTGTGACTTCGCGAGTGCAAGAGACTGTGTGATGTAGGGTTCATATAATGGTATTTGATGGGAAGGGACGTTAACATTAATTTTTAACCGCGAATGTTACGTCGAAGGGGGGGGGGAGGCGGTGGAGGCGACGGATATGCACTTAGAAACTTGTAATGCGCATTCATGCCTCCACATATGATGGAGGATAGTTAACGACTCGTTTCGTGCCGTGGTGGGTGGTTTTCAGGCTCCACCACTAACCCCCTGCTGGTTGCCTCCGGTCAACCGTCAGCCTCAAGTCCGAGTGGCGTGGGAAGTTGCTTGACGGTTCGTGAGACAGGACGGCCAGCCGGAATATAGGTCCGATGTGATTTGGACTCTAGTCTCGCTCCCGCATGCGTCGGTTTTCGAAGTCGTGCGGTTTGCCAGCTGCTCTGAGCACCTGGCGAGCGTATTTTAAATCAACAATCTTTCGGCCCACTACGTTTAAGGTTGCATGGTTGGTGGCTGTTGAAGCCGAATACCCCCCCCCCCCCCTATATTTCTGCATCATCACAGAAGCACCCACTTTCATTTTTACTCACAGTAACAGAGACCTTCCCAGCCACCACAATAGAAGCACCCCAGGACAAACGGGATACCAGCCCCTTTCACCATAGGCACGATGCAAATATCCCCTGCCGCAACCGTTCATTCGAGTTCCGCATCGGCCTTGTCAATCACCTGCAAATCCAGTGCCTACAGCCTTCACCAATACCCGTCATACGTACCTTTCCTGTTGGCACCGCCTCCAGATATTCAGGCGTTGCATAAGCGTATGTGGCCACCTGCGTCCATGCGACAAGACAAGACAGCTCTGACCCCCCCCCTTCTCCACTCTACCCGCACGTACACGTGGTCATTTGACCGTCGTTATTGACCGGGTCTAGTACTACCCAGAGATGCGCTCAGTCACGACTTGCACACAAATTTATTTGTAGCGGAGCAGACCTGCCCTGCGTCAACGGCATTCTTTTCCTACACTTAACGAGTTCCAATGGCAGGACAGAGTTGACACGGCCGGTATTGGCTGTAGACGTAGTGGTTGACTCAGATAGACAGACACTACGTGTTCCCCACATAAACTTGTTCTAAAGTCCACAAGCACCATACGTCAAGCAATTGCCTCGGACCTCACAAAGGTAGGAATGTCATAAAGACCACAAAAAATGAGCCATTGCAGCCAGATCATCGCTTCATTGAGGGATTGAGTTATCCCCCTCAGCTGAGAGCCTTCTGAACCAGGACTGTTGGCTTACCGCGATAGGTTTGGGCGCGTCAGATTGATCCTAGTTAGAAGTGTATTGGATTGCCGTGAGGTGAGGTACCGCAGCATTGGCCTAGCTCTCATTTAATCCTTCCATGCACCAAGTGACTTTTCGGACTCATTGGGCAATGGGCGATCTGGCGCCTGTCTCTTCCTGGCCAGCCAGACGCATGTGTGGCAATGGTTAAGCGCTCACGAAGACCCAGCAGAGTCAGAAAAGGGTTTTCAGAGAGCAAATATAGCTCCTGTCATGGTTAATTCCGGACCCTCTTCGGGCGGAGCATGAGGGGGAGGGCTGAAGAGAGACATACACGACAGTTCAACCGTCATGACCGACGACGTGCACCCTATGCCCCACCGCAGGACGAGAGCAAGGACGGTGACTTCTGAGCCAATTAATTTGTAGTGATTTTAGACTTGCGCTGTCACTGCAACACCCCCTCTTCCTCCCCCACTTGGACTCCGTGTTATGACAGAGTCAAGAAGATCGGGACCGGGGGAGAGCACAGGTAGCTAGTACGGCTTAAACCCGCACATAAACGTACCACCACAGCCACTGATCCACGACGGATACTGACCAGGACTTTAAACCACAACACACAGGGACGGCGGCCCGGATCCCATTTGGCGCGGCATCAGCCTTCAGCTGGTCGTGTCACTACTTCCCCAGTGTAGGCACTTGCTACGGGTGCTCATCCACGGAAACCGATCCAGCCCTGTGCTGGTCTAGCGCATCTACCGCGTGGCTCGCTTTCAGGGCACATACATAAGCGCCTGAACAATGCATACACATCCTCGGCCGAATCGGTGTGCAGGACAATTATCGGTGGAACATATCACATTGTTAATGCAACAATCATACGATCAGTTTGTCAGCGTCATCACGACTGACTAAATGTTCTGTGTAAGCACCTGCGCGTCATATTTCCGCGATGGTCATATGGACTGAGACACCTAGTACGCGGGTGGCAGGCGTACACGTCAGCCACTGACTCCAGCCCTCTCATCAGTCAGTCGGCAGGTTTCGGCGGTCGACAATGCGTGGGAGATGGAAGGTCGAGTGAAGCCCTCCTGTGCGAATCGTACTTGCTGGTAAGGCATTGCATTCTTTACCAATAGAGACCTAAAACACCGGGCTTTACCAAGAGGCTTGGACAACGCCAGCTGGCTCGATAACCCACTGTAGTTTTAGAACAGAGTCAGGCTCTGACAGTTACTACATAGAGACAATTATTTGAGTGAGATTGGATTCACCCTAAAGTAATCCCAGTGGGTGTGGAGACAGGGGCCACGTCATGCCTGGCACGAGTAGGCGGGCTGTTTAAGAGCCTCAGCCCAAACTCATCGTGGGCGGTCTTGGCGTCGTTTCGCCACTCCCAAGGGGGGAGGGGGATTGCGGGAAGAGATACGGTACAGCACAGTACACTTTTTGTGGGACAGCAGGTGAGCACCTCAGGTGAGTGGCGGGACAACGGATACCAAAAGTAAACTACTGTAGTACTTTCCCTCCAAAGAAACTCAGTAAAAGTCAACTTGCACATACAGGTGAATCATCAGAGGAATAACTCACCATACATTTCATCAGATGTCACCGACTGAGAGTCACGTGCCCTGTTAATAAAAATTAAAGAGTTGGTGTTTCTTCTCTTGGTAACGTCCGTCCCAATTTCCTGGGGGCCCGTGAACGGTTTCACAAACATATAGAAATTCTCACTGACGAATAAAACCCTACTAAACCTCTGTCTGCTATTCGGAATTTCGATACAAACTAACTTGCTCATATGTCTCTGTATCACTTGTAGGACGCTTCACTATCCTCACAATGGCAGACTACGTAAAGTGGGCCTCCACCTCTTAAGTCTCCATCCACTAATTACTTAATTATGGTCTAACCAAGGAAACTGACTATTTGACCAACTGAAACGTCGTCTACTCGCATTATTTAAGGACATCGTCTACGCGTCCTTCAGCTAAATTACCGTTAAAGGCTCATTTAAACAGCAAGCACATCTAAATTCCTCACTTGTGGTACGCCATGTCACCTCGAGTTATCTTCGTCGGATATGTCGCCTACTTGAAAATATAAGCCTACTTTCCGTCTCATCAGCCTTAGTTGAGGCGTGTTGATCACCTGCGAAGGCATTTGATGACACTCTCACGTTTCAGCCTGCCAAGAGTCTAGACCGGTAGATGGTCAAGTGCTATCTAAAACTACCTGTCAGGAAAGTGCCCTACAACTGTCTTGATCACTTCTCTTAAAATAAAATGTGTAGCATGCTGACACATCGTCAGACGATGTATGCAGGCAGACA